CAGGCATGTTCGTATGTTCCCCGAACATTTACGTCCGATTCATGAAATCTGCTGCAGGCTACCAAAACATGTTTGGTTTGGCTATCTTTCAGCTTTTTTCATTAAAAAAAAGAAAAGAAAAGAAAAAACTCTAGAAGGTCCGTAAAACTGTAAAGGAATAATTATTTCTTTAAAACAAATAAAACTAAATGTTTGTTTTGTATTTTTTTCTTTTTAAGTTACTTTTCTTAAAAAAAAATATACTTTTTTTATACAACAAAAGATGATTTTAGTACACACATATATGTCATGTAAGCAAGTGAGGACAGTGAGGCTGTTAGGATACGTCCTTTGCATCCGTACGCTAGTTGTTGGAAGATGATGAAAGTGTGGGTCAAATTATGCAGTATGCACACTCTTGGGAGTGGCAAGCAATGCATATATCATGTATGATATGGCCAATAAACTCCTTGATGGGGATATGCATTCAGGCCATTAAAACATCACTGACTTGCACTTGCACACTCGCAAGCTTCTCTTTCTAAAAGCCTTCAATCAGTTTCTTTCTTCTTTTTTTCCTCTCCAATTTACAACATATAAATAATTATACCTTTTTCTTTAACCAAGGTCCAAGGCTATCTCTCATCCCAGCTAAAAGCCAAACCTAATATTTCAAATTATTAAAATCTATCTAAAGAACTCATCAACATGAACCATATTACACTATGTTGAATATTCCTCAAATAGTTGAACAGGATGAATGGAAATAGCTATGCCCTGTGACAAACAATTGGGGCGGAGAGTGGCGCATCACAAATAAGAATATGCTAATCTCAATTCTCATATCTCAGTTGGGCCAAGACAAATCTACACAAAATTCAAAACCCTCTATAATTAGCCCGTTTAAAATGACACACGATGTGACACTGAAGATACCATTAACCAAATTGAATTTGTTTATATCACGTCGCTGGATGAGAGTGAATAGTGAATATGAGTTGATTTTATCTACACTGCCCTAAGAACAAAGAATAGTGGGTCCTCATATACAAAGACAAGACAAGGTGCTGAATGTTTCGCACTTATATCCTACGGATGGAGTTAAAGTCACAAATTTATTTATTTGATATTTTACGGCAAAAATAAGCAGACAAAAGAAAAGAAAAAACGATAAATATGAAATTGAGTTTAAACAAAACCCAAAACAGGGGCTTACAGACATGATGGCTGCTTGTTTGATGAGTGCACAATATGGGTCCATGCACCACTATGATATTATATATATCTAACCCATGATTGCAATAGGGACTATAGCACCTAGGAGCATTTACAAATATTCCCACTAATTTTAGAGACTTACAAATTAAAGCACCTCTTGCGGTTATGCCAGAGTTTCGTCAGTTTTTTTCATGTAATTTAACTTCAACAAACAACTAATGACCAACTAAATTTCACGGGTGAAGAGCGAGAACTGCTCCAAATTAAGGAATGCTTTTGAACCAGTTGGTTGATACTTGATAGTAATTTCAATGCAATAAATCAGTCACGGCATTGAACGACGGCCATATTTGACTTCATTTAAAATCAAATTAAGGGGAAATATAATTTTGCAAAAAAATAATATGAAAATGTTTACCTTTATTATCTTAAACAAATAAGGCCATTTAAACTATTAGAATGATCATAATAATAAAGGTCGAATAGATGTATATAAATTTAGGTTTGGTTCACGTTATTACTATTGTAAATTTTTGTGTTGATTAAAAAGCCAAATGAGGTCAGCTACATGAACTTTTCTTTCATTCCTATACACAAAACTCTGTTTCTTACCCCCCTTTATCATGAGCTAGATCAAGAAACAAAACTTCGTCCTCTGTTTGATCCAACATATTTAGTAAAAGTGAACTTAAGGACTGTGTTTGATTGAGCGCCTACAAAATTGATTTTGAAGTTATGTAATTTATGTTTAGATGGTTTTATTTTAAAACAATTCAACATAATCCTGGACAATTTAACATAAAACCAAACACATGCAATAAAGAGAAATTAGGTGCATAGAAAGGCATATGCATTCAGTGTATTGGTTCTTTCCTCTTGATCCTTTTTCACTTTTCAGTTGTGCAATTGTCACATATTTGACTTGGATATATTCGTGCATCTGTCTCATCAGGTATAGCTTAGCGATTACCTATTTGCATATCAAAACCAGTGGGAATTTGCAATTGAGCAATATGCTGCAGAGTGTCGAGCCATCATTTGGGGGTTAATTCATGGAATAATTGATATATTCGCACATACTCTCAACTATATTCCTCCAACAAAGGAAATGACAATCAATTGCACTTAGACCCATATTTCATCGTTACAATGAAACAAGAGTGAATAATCAATAGTAAAATGGGCGATTTCCTGTGCTCAACAATAAGACCAATTCTCATAAAGACCCTTAATTTCATCATATAAAAGATCAAATCAGAAATACAAATGATGAAACTAATGGAAAACCTCAGCAGTTTTGTTTCCACTTTCCCCACATTGCTTATTCTCTTTTATCCCTGCTTGATCATTGTGGCCACTTTTATTATACTAACTTCTAATCAAACACCACGTAGTGCGCTTTCACTGTGGATTTGGATGGAACCCAAAACCCCACATCCAAAGGTGGCTCTCCTCAAACGGATAAGAGTTTTTTTCCTACTGTTTTTATCTTTCATAAAACTTGAACATATTACATCATCCCTCTCTAGATGCATTATTTGTGCTCTAGTGGAGGAGATTAAATATTTAAATACTATCTCAGTATCTGAAAAGCAATATCATCAATTACTGTGGCTAATTATTCTTTTAAACCCCACATTTTTAAAAAGTGCAAATTGTACTCTCCAAATGACATCATGCAACTTGTCTACATCGAGCACAAACATCTGCTTCAATGCATGCTCTCTCTATGTGTGCGCAAAGATAACTCACTGAATTATACTAACTAATAATTTCAACTGAACAAGAATGTTCATAAGGTAAATAATGGTACCGGATTTTTTTCCCAATTAATTAATAATTTCATCCTGGTTAACACACAAATTGTTTATTTTATTTTTTATATTTTGCTCAAGCTAGCTAGATAGGATTACTACAGACACAGCAAAATTTTCTCTCCACCTCTTGTCTCGTAAAGGCTTTATATTATTTAGAATTATTATCATGTATGACCTTTACTTCTCTCAATTCACGATCTGTGAATCAATTAAGCTAAAGGTCCCCACTCTATGTCATGAGGAAACAACGACATTGATTCACTGAACAGAGAAAGTCTACGATGACAATCAACAGAGGACCATCCTAAGATTTTGTTGTATATAGTTGTAAGAACCAAAGTCGACAATATGAATTAATGGTTCGATTGAAGGGTTTTTTTTTTTGTTGTTTTATTGTTAAAAGAGGTAAGAAAACAAAGAAAAACAACTAAGTAGAGAAAAAGAGATGCTTGTGGCAGTGACTGATAACAAGTGTGGATGTAGCACTCCTTCAGAGTGAAACAAAGTACAATCAGAATAGGTAATTTTTTTTTGTGTTTTTGATTGTAAGTTCTGTCTAGGACAGTGAAGGTCAACCTGATAATCTTAATATTTATTTTTGCGATATTAAAATAATGTTTGTTAGAAAAATCACCTCCTATAAATACATATTAATCTTTGCTTATCAAATTTAAAATATTATGTGCACAGGTATATAGATTGAAATACATTAAAAAAAATACAATCTGAATCCCTGTGTATGTAATCTTTAATCATCAATATCTCATTATAATAATGATGATATATAGATATGGATACATTCTGTTCCCGTATTAGGATACACACTTCACTTGTCCTTGTTGTAGCGGGTCTGGTTTTGGGTCTCGGCTTTTTCGTTCCTTTCTGATCAGTTCGAAGTGAGGGGAGTGCCTGCAAAGATACTCCAATGTTCAAGTAAGTGCTCGGCGTATTAAATGCGGTAGTTGAAAGTTAGTTACGTAACTCGCTGGGGTCCTATTTATAGTGATTCTTATTGGACCGTGATTAAGGATTGGGTCTCGAGAAATTAGAGGACTAAACCAGCACATTACGTAAATTAATATCTCCTTAATTGTCTTGGCATAAACTCATAACTTGGCCGAGAACACCGACATGTTCAGTTCAAGTAGTGAGTGGTCAGTGTTCTCGACGAAGGTGATCTGGTCGATCGGATCGGTAATTCGAATATTCGGCCTAATCGGTTACCATCCGGTATACATTGCCTCTCAACAATCTCAATCGTAGGCTTCGAATTCGAGTAACATTGCTATAGCCAGAATCCCAACAAGCATTCAACCTGTGAGGCTGTGATATAAAGTGTGAGAAATTTTGTTTTGCAAAAATATTAATAAAGGGTTTAGTTAATACTTACTTTTCAATCAAAGTGAACCGGTTAAAAAAATTGAAAATTAATTGGTTTGAGTTAACGATAGATTACAGTAAGCATGGTAGCGACAACGATCAATAATAGGTGAAGGAATCTACTATGTATATAATAGATTTATTTATTTATAATGAAGTTTTACAATTAAGTAGTTTTAAACTATTTTGTTATTTTTTTATTTATATATTATTCAACATTCTACTAAATCAAATATTTATCTCTGTATAATGTTTCACGTCAACAAATTTTATATCAGTAACTTGCACAATGAACATCAACGTTTAAAGTGAACAATGAATACCAAAATAAACCATCAGCTTGAAAAACAATGTCAAAATCAAATAAATAAATAAACTTGTGTTTTCTTTAGGAAAAAGATTCCCCTGTCCTTCACTTGTGATTTGTTAGGGGTGAAAGAAAGAATCAGTCCCGACAGAGAGGCCCTACAGTAGCATTTAATTCCAAACTGGAGCAGTAGTAATAGGTGAATACTTCATTAATGTCATTAATGCTTCATATTCTTTTTCTCAACACATGATAGTTTTTCTTTTACAGATTAAATATATATTTCCGTGTAGAGCGTCATTTTCTGAAAGGCAAAAACACAAAATCCCCATGAACAAGAGAGCGGTGCCTGCTCCAAGTCTTAAGGGGTAACCTAACACACATTAGAGTACAGTACCACCCTTGCCCTGCAAGTTACATCATGCAACAAGAAAAGAGGGCCAAGTCCGTGACCCAAAACAGAAAGCGTATATAGTAGTGTACATGACTTTTCTTTTCCCACTATAAATACCCCGCCACCCCACTCTTTCCTTACAAGTTACATAACATAAGTCATAACCCTCCTTCTCCCATCAAACAAAATGAGGACCATTCCCACCGCAGCAATACCACCCACATCCGCCACGTCATCACCAAGCCCTGCGCGCTCCACGTGGCACTCTCCTGTTCCCTACCTGTTCGGAGGACTCGCCGCCATGCTCGGCCTCATAGCCTTTGCGCTCTTGATCTTGGCCTGCTCCTACTGGAAACTCTCGGGTCACTTGCAGAACGAAGAAAGTAGTGATAGGGACTTAGAGAATGGTGGCGGTGAGAAACAGAGTGACTCTGCCCACACTGAATCCGTTAAGCCTTACGAAGAGAAGATTCTCGTCATTATGGCCGGTGATGACAAACCCACATTCCTGGCCACCCCTAAGTCCTCCTTTTCTACTCATGGAATCCCCCATCATTCTGACACAAACCTCGAAAACCGCCTCACTTGGGAGAAATCTGACAAGGAAACGGAGAACCATCTTCAACAATAGGAGAGTTTCGCTGGTTGATGTCTTTCTCGTTTCATTCTATTTCTATCCTAGGTTAGACTCCAGATTCTCTGTTTCCAATCACCCCCTCTCGCTCTTTTCCACCTTGTTGGTTTCTGTTCTATTGTTGTTCGGAAATTGTAAATTTAAGCGAGATTAATTAGAATCCAGGGAATTTAATTCTATTTCCATATCCCAGGATACTTAGATTTTGCAGAGTCTCTCATATTTGTTCATGCTTTCAGACTCACAAGCAATACGTCATTTTCTCTGCACAAGCTACAAACTTTTTTTTTTTTTTTTAATAAAATTTTTTACCCAAAAACACTCTTTATTTATCTAAAATTATGTCATTTTTAATTTGAGTTTAATTAAGATGTCTTGACAATCTACAAGATTTTTATGTTAAATTACAGGGAAAGATATGTTTTTAGTAGCTTTAAATTTTTTGAAATTGAATTTTACTCTCTTAAAAAAAATAAATTATTTTGTTTTCTCTATTTTAAAAATATCATTTTTAGTCTTTAAAGTATTTTAAATAACACTTAAAAATAGTTATAAAATTTTATTTAGATTGCTTTGAAAATTAAAAGTAATGCATTTTTAAAGTAAAGAAACCAAAATAGAAAAAAATAATAAAAATAGTTTGGTATGGAAGATTATCTATAAGAAAATTCAGTGATCATCAAAGTTCAGAAAACTCAGAAGTGTAACCTGATTTCCTGGCTTTGTATTTGTTGGTTTCTTTAAACCACATTTACGAGCTTCATGATCTTAGGGATTGTCTTCGTCAATTCCGGAGTGATTGTCATTGTCCAGCGAAAAATTCGCCCTGTGCATTTATGGCGAGTGTATTTGCACATTAAGTGTTCCCTATCAATGAGGTGGTGACAAAGAGTGGAAGATGATTCAAAAGGGTCTCGGCCTGGTATTAGGGGTAGTATTGGATTATGTCATATATTTAGGAAGACACAAGAACATATTTTATACAATAAACAAAAACATATTTTATTCTAAAATATTATATATATATATATATATATATATATAT